CCTGTGTTCGCACCTGGGTCCACCATACACACCACCGCACGGTTTGTCACAGCGGACCGTGACATTCATCCTCAGCAGCAGAGATGACTTGGTTTTTCTTTCCTGGGCGGTCCTCATGTGAGCCAGTTTCATCGTAGCGCTTGATGGTTTTTGCTATTACACTTGGTACGCATTCAAAGTTTTAGTAATTTTCCAGACTAACTGACCTTCAGTTCTTAACCCTGTAAGAACCAACCCATCAAAAAATAGCCAGAAAATTCAGATTTTTTTGCAAGTGAGATATTTATTAAACCTCATAACAAAACGCCCTTGTTTTTGCTGTATCATGTTGTGTATGATATATATTTATTATATATTCATTATATATGTTTTGTATCATATTTGATACATTGGGTGTTTTTGGCAACTTTTTGTTAACAAAAATGTTAATATTAGACAGAAGCTTTGTCCATAATATTTTGAAATTATGGCAAGTATGGATCATGTTGATGAAATAGAGGTCTCAGAAACCCATGTATCAAATATGATACAAAGAGCGTTATAGGGTTAAAGTAATGAAGTGCTCTAATTCTTATCTTCTTTTCTTATGGTTCTTACCATAATATGGATTCTAACAGTTGTCAAATGGGGCTGTCAGTTGTGTACCAACCTGAGTTCTGCACAACACAACTGATGGTCCCAACCACATTAAGGAGGCAAGAAATTCCACAAATGAACTCTGACGAGAAAAAAAAAATTCAGCGAGAGGTGGCCAATTATAAAGATATATAATACACTACTAGAATTCAGATTGGCGACCAATCCAGGGTATATCCTTCCTCTCGTTCTGTGACAGCTGGGATGGACTCCAGCCCCTCAGTCACACTGGATAAGTGAAAGAAAATAGATGGAATAATATATAAAATATATTTTATATTTAATTAAATGTATTTTGTATGTATGTGGTTAAAAATGATGACTTAAATACTGCACTCTGTTTGTGTGGGTTATAAAGATAATGTATTATTATTATTATTACAAAAATAAATAGTCTGTAGAATAAAAATAAAGTCTGACATAAAATAACTCACCTATGCTTCTTCACGTATCAGTGACGTTGGTGTCAGGACTGTTGGTATGGAGAGGTCGGAGTGCGACAGCTGAGCTTGAGCCAGAGGCCTGATCTGTTTGGCCTGGTCGGGAGATGGAAAAAGTGTTTTAGCATACATATGTACAGAGGGTCTGCCTGCACTAATTACATGTTGGCTAAAAAACTACAAAACATTGTTTTATGTTAGAAAATTCAAATTTTATTTGTCACGTACACAGTCATACACAGGCCTGGGCCCTCTGACCACCACCAGTAGGCAAACACAGGGTTAGTATCTTGCCCAAGGATATTTGGCATGCAGCCAGGAGGTAGCCTGGGATCGAACCACCGACCTTCTGATTAGTGGCTGACCTGCTCTGCCACCTGAGCTACAGCCACCCCAGAATCATGTGCTAACGGCTGTCTAAATGACTCGGGAAAGTTTGTAGCATGCGTGCTTGTTGTTTTTGTCTGCTTCCACTTGTCTTTGCACTAGGATGATGTCGGCGTAAATGTGCAGTCATATTCGTTGTGTTCCCACTAGTGCTGTCAGCGTTAATCTCGTTAAAATGACATTAACGCCATAACGCGGCAAATCTCCGTTAACGAGTTACCGCGGATCGCCCCGTGCGTGGGGCTGGACGGCGTCAACACGTTAACAAGCTAACTGCGCTAACGCACTAGTTCCCACAAATTGAGCATTGCGTGGCACATCCGACATACTGTTTTACTTTTGTCCATGACGCGCTTACATCAGGGTCATACTTCACATGAAAACCAAGATAGTTCCAAACGCTAGATCTGAATGAGGGTGGGGAAGGTTCAATTTCAGGTAGCGTTGAGGCAGCTGCCATGTTGCAACGAGCTTAGCTTCTGTCTTGCAAGCTCGCGCTGCGCTCAGTGGATCTGCACTCGACAGTGCAGCCTAGGCGGAGTAGTCAAACTCAGATCCACTGAGCTCTCAACACAGACAGCATGTCAGAAGAAAAGTTGATAAAATAAATAAAAAAAATTGTATTGTTCGATACATACAGTATGCATACCGAACCAAAAGCACTGTATCGAACGGTTCAATATCGATACGAGTATTGTTGCACCCCTAGTGGGAACCATGCATGTAGAGACCATCCGTTCACCTTTTCTACGTTGCACAAAGACACGGCAGGTGGAATCAAAGATCTCAAATTGGACTCATCAGACCAAAGCACAGATTTAATGTTATTAGTAGAGATGTGTCTGCTACTAGAACTTTGTGTGGTATTTTTCTGCAATTTGATGATGACTCAGATGAATTCATTGTCATGGTCCTGGGTCGTGTGACCCAGTGTGTTATGTTTAGCCCATTTTGATGTTTATTGTTTGTTTAGGTTCTCTAAGGTAGTCCAGCCATTTGTATTTATTACCCTTGCATTAAGTCTCCCTTGCCCTTCGTGTGTTTATGTCTGTGTGTCTTGTACTGTCAAGTTCATGCTGTCAGTTATGTCATCTCCCCTGTACTAAGTTTCCCTGGGTCATGAGTCCTGTCTGCGTGGTTATGTTTAGTTCTTGTTATGTCTAATTTCCATGTTTCCTGTTTTACTTTGTAAGTCTGTATTCATTGTCAGTGTATTCAGTTGCACCCTCCTGTCCTGTCGTTAGGTTCATGTGTGTCAGCTGTGATCCCATGTGTGGCCACTTCCCCTGATCATCCCTCATGTGTATTTAGTCTCTGTGTTTCATGTAGTCTGCGTCGCGTCGTCTGTGTTTCCACCCTCTATGTTTCCATGCCCGGTCTATTGTATTCTTAGTCATAGCTTTACCTTAGTTATTCCCAGTTTAGGTTTCTGTTTAGCCACGCTATCCCTGCTGTATTTGTATACCTTGTCATCAGCCACAATAAAAGGCTCGCTTTTGTTTAAAGTTCACTCCCGTCTGCTCACCTGTGTTCGCACCTGGGTCCACCATACACACCACCGCACGGTTTGTCACAGCGGACCGTGACATTCATCCTCAGCAGCAGAGATGACTTGGTTTTTCTTTCCTGGGCGGTCCTCATGTGAGCCAGTTTCATCGTAGCGCTTGATGGTTTTTGCTATTACACTTGGTACGCATTCAAAGTTTTAGTAATTTTCCAGACTAACTGACCTTCAGTTCTTAACCCTGTAAGAACCAACCCATCAAAAAATAGCCAGAAAATTCAGATTTTTTTGCAAGTGAGATATTTATTAAACCTCATAACAAAACGCCCTTGTTTTTGCTGTATCATGTTGTGTATGATATATATTTATTATATATTCATTATATATGTTTTGTATCATATTTGATACATTGGGTGTTTTTGGCAACTTTTTGTTAACAAAAATGTTAATATTAGACAGAAGCTTTGTCCATAATATTTTGAAATTATGGCAAGTATGGATCATGTTGATGAAATAGAGGTCTCAGAAACCCATGTATCAAATATGATACAAAGAGCGTTATAGGGTTAATGTAATGAAGTGCTCTAATTCTTATCTTCTTTTCTTATGGTTCTTACCATAATATGGATTCTAACAGTTGTCAAATGGGGCTGTCAGTTGTGTACCAACCTGAGTTCTGCACAACACAACTGATGGTCCCAACCACATTAAGGAGGCAAGAAATTCCACAAATGAACTCTGACGAGAAAAAAAAAATTCAGCGAGAGGTGGCCAATTATAAAGATATATAATACACTACTAGAATTCAGATTGGCGACCAATCCAGGGTATATCCTTCCTCTCGTTCTGTGACAGCTGGGATGGACTCCAGCCCCTCAGTCACACTGGATAAGTGAAAGAAAATAGATGGAATAATATATAAAATATATTTTATATTTAATTAAATGTATTTTGTATGTATGTGGTTAAAAATGATGACTTAAATACTGCACTCTGTTTGTGTGGGTTATAAAGATAATGTATTATTATTATTATTACAAAAATAAATAGTCTGTAGAATAAAAATAAAGTCTGACATAAAATAACTCACCTATGCTTCTTCACGTATCAGTGACGTTGGTGTCAGGACTGTTGGTATGGAGAGGTCGGAGTGCGACAGCTGAGCTTGAGCCAGAGGCCTGATCTGTTTGGCCTGGTCGGGAGATGGAAAAAGTGTTTTAGCATACATATGTACAGAGGGTCTGCCTGCACTAATTACATGTTGGCTAAAAAACTAAAAATTCTCTTAAATTCAAATTCAAATTTTATTTGTCACGTACACAGTCATACACAGTACGATATGTAGTGAAATGCTTGGACAACTGCTCGTGACCTAAAGAAAACAAAAGGAAAAGGCTATGAATAAGATAGGAAATAAATATGAAAAATTAAAAAGGGTAAATTTAACTAGGAAGGAATAAAATATAAATTAAGGTTAAAAATGAAATAACTGTACAACACAAATTAGAATGAAGGGTAAATTTAACTGGGAAGAATAAGATAAAATATATAAATTAAAGTTGAAAATAAAATAACTGTACAACAAAATACACAATATAGAACTATATAAGAATGTATGAAGAAATATAAATAAATATATACACAATAACAGCAGCTGTACAAGTATTAACCGGAAA